AAGCAAAACCGTGCTGTGTCTGTGCCTGTGCTGTAAGTTAAGTGTCACGATGGGCATAGTTATATATGCAGATCTCTATTCAAGGCCCTCAACTAGATTCATTCAATCCATTCCTAGTTTGGCACAAGCCTTGTGGCCAAGCATTTTCGATGTTGAGGACTCCAGGCGGTGACATTTAATAGTGGCACCGAAAAGAGACGACAGCGAAACGACCGGTCGAGGCTGTCGATCGCAGAAGGAGGAGGTGTTGATGATGACTACATTTGAATCAGGATTCGTGTTATTGATATCGAATATGGAATTCAGGATCAATTTCAAGCTATCACGTGCGATTCATGTATCTTTTTGGGGGAGCACAACAGCGATCGAGACCACCTGCTTCAAAGGTCTAATGGTCTAGGCCCAAAGATCGGCTCCGATGAAAGAGAAGGACACCACCACAACCGCTGGTGCCTTCCCCAGCAACCATCCAATCTAAATGCTGGGCACAGGTAAGGTAGGTAATTACGGCTTTTCGTACCTGCCTTCTGTGGCAGAGTCCGTCCAATATCAAAATCCAGTCTGATAAAAGAGAAGGAGCTTTTCCTCCACCATCACAAGTGGACACTGCACATCGAGAACCTCTATTTCATCATCTATTTTAAACAGATTTTAGTGATCGTCTGAGAATAACCTCCTCGTCACATTTCTGTTGTTTCCATGGCCCAATTGCGCTATTGAACGTACAATACATTCCTCTCTTGTTCTCCTTGACACCCAATCGCCAATTCTCTCACCAACTCACCAAGTGACCACAAGCGATCTACAATACCAAGAACTGGACCCGTTCTGACGTTCTAGTCAGGTTCTGGTCTCTGTAACGCCTATCAAGGACAAGGTACCGGTCTTGGGTCCGTTGAATTGTCTCCATCGGCCGATCAAACCGGCGCTAAGTTAAAATATTTCCAGCTCCGGACGGCGACTCCAGCGCCTCCTGGCATTTACTGCAGTCCCGGAACGAAAGACTCAGTCATCAACTAAAGTCAACATTCAGGAGTTTGGCGATCACTGTGCTATGTGCTAGATCCCACCATCAAGCAGTCAATTATCATCCTTGCGCCTCGCACAATGCGCTACGAGGCCAATCACATCTCGGAGCCGTCACGTATCTAACAAACCGAGAATATTCCTAGTACGACTCTACAGAGGTCCAGCCCAACTCCAACCCAGCCCAACGCAACGGGTCCACTACCCTAGCTCGCATCTGCAGCCAGGCCCGCAGGTGCACTGCTGGATCGCCCGACTCGCGCGTGCGCGTGTCTGGGGTGGCTGAATCAGACGGAACAACCAGGAAAAAGAGAGGCAACGGACCGGACCACTGCCACTGAGCTCTAGGCTAGCTCCACGGCGTCAACTGCGTCCCGTTCGAACAAGGTAAAGCTCAACGACCCTGGCCTGGCAAGTTCAAACTGCCCCGTCCCATCCCATCTGCAACCAAAGGTCTACACTACCACCAACCTTACGTCTACCGGTGTGGTCCTGGTTGTCCCCCGTGTCCCGTGCATTGTGCCCCGTTTCCTATCCGAAGCTGCATGCCTGGTGGTGCCTCTAACTGACCTATCCATCTCAGCTTCGCCTTAGACAATCCTGCTCTTTGGCCTTACTTCCTCCATAACTCTGCTCGAGTTCTTTCCATTTCGTTATCCGCCATGTCAGTTGCGAGCTCAGTGCGCCAGCGACCTACCATTGCCTACCTTTCTCAGCCGAGGCTGTCATCGGCTTCCTGAATACCACCGCATCCCACTTATTGCTCAGTCCTCGAAGCTGGTCAGCGCACTTTCACCGGACCCTCGCTCGTTGACCGTTTGTTCGACCTCGCGTACTTGCGTCTGTCTGATTCGCATACGGGTTCCACCGACCACTTTTCCACCCTATCGCTCGATCCCTTGTAGCTTCGAGCTCTATCCCTATCGTATAGTTCTCTGGCACTCAGTCGCATGGCCGCAGGCATGCCCGAGATGACCACAGCGCACTCAACTACCCACGATGGTGGCAGCGCCCCGGTCACAGCTTCGCAGTCTATTCTAAGCTCAACAGCTTACGATGCGCCGCTGTCGCAACAACAAACACCACCACACCATCTACACCAGCAAACGCCATCACAGGGTCTTGCGCTCACCCAGCAACAGCAGCAGCAGCAACGAAGTGTCAAGAGACCCAGGCCAGTCAAGTCATGCACCGAATGCCGGAAGCGCAAACTGCGATGCGATCGGCTTTGTCCCTGTTCTCAATGCCAGAAGTCGAATCGAACCTGCAAATATGCTATGGATCATGACTCCGCAAATCTCTCTGAAGGCTCCGATAGCGAAATGCCAGAACCAGCTCGACCAGCGAAGCGCAATTGCAACCCCGGCATTTTCAACTCAGGCACTCCTCTCCCTAGCAACGACTCAACATATGGACCTATCCGCAATGGGGATACTACGAGTGCGCCTTCACTAGAAGAGTTATCAATGCGTATGGAAAGGCTTGAGAGGCAACTTATGGCCAGAAGTCCCGTTGTTTCAGAAGGCAGTGGTGGCAGACTAATTGCTGCGTCTTCTGAGACCATCCGAGGATTGACAGTCAAGCAGGGAGCGTTGCGAACAAGATATCACGGTCAAAATAGTCCTCGTGTCTTGCTCAACCTGGTAATTGTCTTTCATATCACCTTGATATGTATATTTGCTAAAATTCATAGTTTGACGAAGCAAAGGAGTTCATGGCAAACAATTCGAATAACAACGGCGTCCGAGATGTTCTGCTAAACTTCAAGCGGTTTCACAAAGCGCTTATTGACCAGTACCGGAAATCCTTGTCTCCGATCACCGTCTTTGTTGACTCGATGATGCCCGTTCAAAAGCGAATGACTGATATTCTACCTAAAAAGGCAGTGTGTGACAGGCTCGTCGCCTCATATGTCGATACATCTGAGACCATCTATCGTATCGTCCATTTGCCCATGTTCATGGAGCAGTACAATCTTTTCTGGGAAGGCAAAATACAGTCCGAGTATTTTTTGCCGCAACTACTTTCACTTTGCTCCGTCGCATCCCGATTCGAAACCAAATCAAAAGGGCTTGGCAACGAGCGATCTGACGGCGTCCATATCCCAACAGCATGCGCTCTTGTGCGAACATGGTTGGATAGTCTAAGAGGAAAACAGTTGGTTGAGTTTGAGGTCCTTCAGGTCGAGGTTCTACTTTTACATGCGCAACGAATGATCACCCCTCGGATCCAGGACTCTTGGACATCTCTGGGTTCTATCGTACGCATGGCTATGACAATGGGTCTTCATCGTGATCCCTCCGAATTTGAACCTCGAATACCCGTATTCTTTAGCGAAATGCGGCGACGATTATGGTTTACGATCCTTGACATGGACCTCCATATCTCACTCGCAAGCAATCTTCCTTGTTTGGTACGAGAAGGAGACTTTACTTGTCGACCGCCCCGCAACTTGGATGACATTGAGCTTTTCCCAGATATGAAAGAGCTACCACAGTCGAAACCCATAGACGTGGTCACCGACAACCAGATGCAAGTTTACGCAGCGATGACTCTAGGTGTGCGGATGAAAGTCGCACACATGTTGAATCGCATCGATACAATCCGAGATTACCAAGAGATCCTGGAGGTGGGAGCCAAACTGGAGCGATTCCTTGATGATATCAACTACATTTTCCCTAGGCAGGGCATTCTAAGTGATGCACAGAAGAGCAAGCAATGGAGGTCCAGAGTCATCCTGGATATGCACGTGCGACGGCCATTACTTGCACTTTATCGACCTTTCGCTATAGGAGCATCTGACGCGCCAGGTCAAATTTCTCGAGCATACCTGAGATCTTCAATGGTGATTATGAAATATCTAGATGAGCTGGATCCTATGCTAGCGCACTTCCAAGATATTGCCGAGATGTATCACCAGGTGTTGAAGAAGGATATTATCCAGGCGGCTCTGAGTGTGTGTTTCTACATACGGTCTGCAGTACGGCCAGCTTCGGATAGCACAGGACTTGGCTCACAAGCTCTGCGCATGTCTCCTGACTCGTCAGATGACTTTCCGACCTATAACCCGGAGAACCTTGTGCTCTGGTCGCCCTCTCGACTTATCAGCACTGTGGAGAAGACGTTGGATCTTCTGGTTCGCAACATCAGTGGCCGGGACACCAAAGATGTGGTCTGTCTCGCAGTTGTTCTGGAATGCGTGTCCAAACCGGAAGTTAAGACAGACGAGGTTACACAAAGTCTCCGCATGATACTGGATCGTTGCTTAAGGGCAACCAATATGACCCTCGACGGTGTTCCCATGGGCTCTACTGGAGTTCCTGTTGATGGCTTCCAAGGGGATGCGTACAGGCATCACGTACCATTCATGTATCAACGAAATTCGATTGGAGTCCCAGCAGCTCTCAACGACTTTGACAACTGGATGCTATGGGAAGGATGGGAATAATGGAATCTGGTGCATGGGTACCTATCTGAATCTGAAGAAAGATTGAAGCCTCGAGTTCTCTGTTGTTTTCTTACTACCCCTTGTTACTTGAGCTTCCTTTGTCTTGAGCGGCTGAAAGGTATTGGTTTGCGTGTTTGTGTGGATACGTGAGTTGCAAAGATGATGGCAAACTGGACTTGCAGAACGATATACTGTGTCTGGGAAGTTCAGCAGGCGTTGGTAAGGTTTTCCCTACGGGGACGTTTGTATTAAGATGCGTTTATACTGTTGGCCATACGTGGCCCTGCGAGGCGCATTAGGGTTAGATGGTTGAAGCGTGAGCTTTTGTATGCTTTGCGCCTGCACAGACCAAGGGAAGAGATGTGTTTGAGACATAACAGAGGCCTAATGAGTCAAGTTGTTGCCAAGACATTGATAGAATGGACTTTGGACAAATTATACCACATGGATGGATGTGAGGACGAATTTAGCTCTTAAAGAAGGATCAATACCAAAATTATCCGCGCAAGAAACTGTATCTCAAAATACACAGCTTAAACGTTGCGATTTCTGTCACCCCAGTTTGACCTCCCCTGCTCCAGATTCTTCTCTTCCATTCGACCGGTTCTCCTGTGCTTTATCTACCACTAAATGAGCCATCCTCGCTTTCTTGACATTAGCCAACCAAGTAGCAACACGCCCTTCTTCAGGCGAAGTCCGGACGGTACAAGAGAGTTCCCCAGCTAGACGAGGGCACTGAGCGAGATCAAAAGGCAAACCACTTTCTCGCACTATTTTATCAATCCTATTGCATCCATCTGCCCCTAACTGCATCGCGTTGCTCTGAATGAACACAAGACGAAGAGGCATTGCTGCAGAATCCTTTTCTTCGTTTAGTTTAGCAATATGAACGGCTTTTAGAGCCCTTATCAGAGTGTGAGTGACGGCTTCGAGAACATGGGCGTTGTAGAAAGCGAGTATGACGGCTTCAGGGGGTTTTGGTGTCTGCAATGCTGTTTCGAGGTCGTGTTGCGATGCGGGTAGGCCGGTGGCAAGAGTGACATTTGCATGATGAGGAATGTATGAAGTCTGGGGAGTAAGGAATGTGATAGTGAAGTTTCGAGATAGAGCAGATTGGATAATGCGAGTGCTGTTGTGGTTTGAAGAACTTAGGAGGAGGATATGCATTGTGAGTTGGTGTAAGTGAGGCTTCAGGGGTCGTTCAAGAACGTGACAATGACAAAGCTGCGGATGAATGAACCTCGCAGCAAGGCATTATACAGCAAGTTGAGACCTTGCATCTGGACTCAATACCTAGAAATGACTTACTTTATAGCTCGTAATCTCGATCGTGGGTAGGCCTGTTGTTGTGTCTACTCGGCCGATTGAACCACGGCGCCGACTTATTCGGCCGGGAGCGGACCTTGACCTTGACTAATTATCCCGACTCCTGCCAGGAAAGCATTGTAACTACTTCTCGCATACTAAACCCATTCCATTTCTCTCTTATTACTAAGATTAAAGAGGAGTTGCCGTAGTTAACTTCACGGGCCATTGAGAATTCGTTGCCGACCCAAAGAGGAAATGTTGAAATACCAAACGAGCCTCGGCATCTCGGTTGCTTTTCGACTTCCCCCGCACTAACCGATGATCGAAGCCAGGGTAGTGAATGCAACGAGAGAATCGATTCTATTTGATGAGAGTTTATGCTTGGACCGAGTTGTTTACCGAATTGGGATGAAAGCCGGGGTAATTGTCGATCCTGGGGTTGTTGGGGGAGTTTTGAGTGGTAGTGATATCATGTTTTATACATAAACCCTTTTGTCTGGCTTCTTGACTTGGTTCTAGCAACTCGTCTTTACTCTGTATTTCTTGATAGCAAGCCAGTGCTTCTTTACTAACAGAAAATCTTTATCTATCTCAACATCAACACAGTCACAATGCCTGAGAAGAAAAAGTCCCCCGTCTACGTCCTTGGCGTGGGCATGACAAAATTCATCAAACCCCGTGGCAAAGTTGACTACACCGAACTCGGCTTCGAAGCCGGTATCAAAGCTCTTCTCGATGCCCAAATCAACTACGATGACGTTGATCAAGGCGTCGCATGCTACTGCTACGGCGACAGCACATGCGGCCAGCGCGTCTTCTACCAATTCGGCATGACGCAAATTCCCATCTACAACGTCAACAACAACTGCTCGACCGGCAGTACTGGCCTTAACATGGCTAGGACTCTCGTTGAGCACGGTGCTGCCGACTGTGTTATGGTCGTGGGCTTTGAGAAGATGGCGGCGGGCAGTTTGCAGAGTAACTTCAAGGATAGAGAGAACCCTATTGGAACTACAGGCAAGATGATGGCCGAGACTAGGGGTGTTACCAACGCTCCTGGGGCTGCTCAGATGTTTGGTAATGCTGGAAGAGAGTATATGGAGAAGTGAGTATCTCTTATACAACACGAGTAGGGTATACTTGTACTGACTTACCTAGATACGGAGCAAAGGCTGAGGACTTTGCAGAGATTGCACGCATCAACCATGCTCACTCACCCAAGAACCCCTACTCTCAATTCCAACAAGTCTACACCAAGGAACAAGTCCTCGAATCTCCCATGATTCACGAACCTCTCACCAAACTCCAATGCTGTCCAACTTCAGACGGCGGCGCAGCAGCTATCATCGTGTCCGAAGCCTTCCTCAACGCTCGTCCTCATCTGCGGGAACAAGCCGTTGAGATCGCAGGTCAACATCTCGCAACTGACGCACCAAGTCTCTTCTCCGAAAGCGCTATTGACTTGATGGGCTATGAGATGACGCAGCGTGCTATGAAGGAAGCTACCCAGCAAGCTGGTATTTCACCTCGTGATTGTCAGGTTGTCGAGTTACATGATTGTTTCAGTGCGAATGAGATGATCACTATCGATGCTCTGGGTCTTTGTGACAAGGGTAAAGCCCATGAACTCGTCCGCGCAGGAGATATCACCTACGGAGGAAAATATGTCATCAACCCTTCAGGCGGTCTTATTTCCAAGGGCCATCCCCTCGGCGCAACAGGTATCGCACAATGCGCAGAGTTAGTTTGGCATCTTCGAGGTTGGGCGAACAACCGTGCTACGCCCAACACACGATACTGTCTTCAGCACAATCTCGGTCTTGGGGGTGCAGCGGTGGTTACTGTTTACAAGAGAGCAGATGGAGGAGTTGCTCAGGCTGTGAACTCTACCATGGTGGGAAATAGGAACAAGTTGGGATATAATCCTGCTGTTGAAGCAAAGGGATTCACGCAGGAGCAGGTTGATTTGGTGAGGAGTAAGAAGAATAGGAGTGAGTGGGCGTTGCAGGATGTTGAGAAGAAGGTTGAGGCGAGGTTTTGAGAAGAGGGTTTGTGATGTTCTTAAATGAATTTACCGAGGTACTTGAGTTGATGTGACCAAATGAATACATATCATTAATATACCTACTGCTGTGTCACTCTACAAATCTGCACTTGATGCGCTGCAGATACAATTCTTAAGGATGTAGAACCTCGGGGTTTAGGAAGATGCAGAATAAGGATATACATCAATGTGATAAGTTCGTATTAACTAAGCTTTTACTTATAATTTAAGTCCGAGTCTATAATATTAACATTTCTACCATACATCCAATTACCATAGTGGATTCCATAATGGGTACAACACCTATTTTGTCGCGGAATTGCATATCTCGAACATTTGCATGTTACTGAAAGCCGCCACTGTACATGATTGGTAGGTAGACCACTTCAACCAAAAAAGAAAATACATACCCCTTTTCCAGCTCCTACTATGTAAGAATTCATCACAACTTCTCCCTGACAACAATATTGACAAACAAAAGCCGTTCGATATGGCCCGATTTGATGACCTACCCCCGGAATTGCGCGCAGCAATATGAAATTTACTCTCCCTGAGGATGAAAACGCGATATACATATTCAATTCAGACTGGGCAGATCAATTCTTCCCATCGAAGACTCCAGGGCCTAATACTGTGGACAATCCAAATATATGCCTTCCTGCCCGTATTCAGGTTCCTATTCCTGCAATATATGATGTTTGCAGAGACGCTCACCCTGTTGTCCATCGTTGGATGGCCAAGAACAACATCGAATGGTATGATCGCCAGGAAACGGGAGAAGATATTCTTGTCCGGCCATTTGATGTTCAGAGCGATATACTCTACGTGCCTCAAAATGACTGGGATATCTTTGAAGGGTTCGTCAATAGCGATGAGCGTGACCTCGAGGAGCACCAGAACATGCGCAACAGCATCATCAACCTCGCTGTGTCAGCCGACACCATGTCAAGATTTGACAATGCTGAAGACATCGCGAGACTCATGCTACGGGCACCCAACCTCAACAAGATAGACACAATGGACTGAGACAGTTCAAGAAGGACTATCTGCGAAATTGGCAGAAGCAAATAAATGAGATTTGGCAGATATTGACGGATGGTTTCCCCGAGATTGCTCACAGCGTTACCAAGGAGCTCAAGGTGCCCAGAGTTGATGTAACCATCATGCAGGTGCCTACTTGGGATATTGTGAGGTAACATCAGGATAGTGATGGACAAGGCGTTGAAAGCAACCATAGATAGACTGGACAAACAATACTTCGCGTGAGAAAGACCACGCAGTTACAAATATACTTCTAAATTGTATCAAACAAATCGCAACTGAAGCCATGTACGAGTAGAAAACCCCCAGTCACTTTCTGAGCGAGATGACATTGGCGTGGCAATGAACAACCATACCACTACACACGGTATCCACGCCATCATATTTGAAGCCCAACAAAGTCACCATCACCGACCAACATTTGTAACATTCTCAGACTTTGCCTGGAACGAAATTACATTTCAGCCGATCCCTTGCAAGGGTTATGCTGCGTTGATCACGGCACTAATTCGCGGTATGAAACTGGAAAAAGAGAGCCAAAGCCCTAACTCGCTGTGACACGGGATATAAAACCCTCAGTCAGAGACGCGCTTCAGCGCGTCTCTGACCTTGATTCTTGCACATCACTTACACCACAACCTCATTTTCTACCATCAATACAACAGATTCTGTGAATCTTCTGAACTCACGATGGATCAATCATTTCCTCAATTTACTAAACTTCCCCCAGAAGTACGCACCACCATTTGGGAGCAAACGCTTCCTGAAGGAGATGGTGGTGCCGCTTTATACATATATAACATGGACTGGTGGGCACAGTATTCCCCCCCTGGCGTTGCATTTCACGACATGACCGCCCAAGGCATTCAACAACTGAGTCGAACTCCCCGTGTCCAAGTGCCTATTCCAACTTGTGCTGCCGTGTGCAAAGAGGGTCGACGAGTGGTTGAGCAATGGAGGAAGAAGAACAACTTGGAGTGGTATTTTCGTGAAGAGACCCAAGGCCATATCATCGTGCGTTCCTTTGACGCTGAACGGGACATTATCTATGTTTCCCGGATTAAATGGGAATCTTTCCAACTCCTGGCCGCGGATTGGGAGGACGATTCTGAACACGCTGCCATCGTTCGCATGATGGAGAGCATCAAATACCTTGCACTCCCGGCATTCACAGCTTACTACAGCATCAGCAACATCGCAGCTCTACTCCCTTGGATGAAAAACATCAAGACCATTTATGTTGTATGGAACAAACTCCCCAAAGCTCATACAATCAAGAGACCGTTGCCTAAGGTAGAAGAGGTCAAGGTAACCCTGGACGCGCCGGTGCAACCACGTTGGGAACTTGATACGTTCCCTATGCGTGAGGATACAGTTGAACTTCATCAGCCTGATGAGGACAGAGGTCGTGACTTTGTTGAAGAGGGTGAGCTTGCGGAGTGGATTGATGAGATTGATGATGTGTGGAACACTACTGAGGTTGATCCGGAGATTTGGGATGAGGATGAGGAGAAGTTGAAGACGCCGCAGGTTCATGTGACTGTGAAGGAGATGCCGACTTGGTGTTGAGTAGGTGATGTTGGATGTGTTTCTGTTGTTCGAGTTACTATGTTCAAGAAGCTATACCAATGATCGTATTTACCTGGTTTATCAGTTCTACCGTCTTTCTAGTAAACGAATATGAGACAAGCAGACTTGACTCGTATATCTCAACGAGCTGCGGAAGACTACAGATGGCATCTTGTATGAGGTCGGACTATGATTAGAGGATACTGTTATAATATTATAAAGATCAGAGCCTGTGGTTGCACTCGGCTCCAACCGCTTCCAAACAATATGCGATTAGAGTCCGCAAGATCATACATAATAGAAGGGAGTCCATCGAAGAAACACGTGCTTCGACACCTGGCTATGGGTGGCTCAACACCCACCGCCAACCATATGCAGATCACAGTATTTGCATCTACACCACAATGGCAAATATAACAACCCCATCTACGAACCAAAATGACACATCACTCATCCAGCATAGCCCAGACCAACACCAAGACCCCTACTAATACCCTCCCGGCTAAACCGAAGCCCACTCACCGCAAGATAAGCCAACAACACATCAGATCATCGATATCAAGAACCCTCCCAACCCATACGTAAGAGGCCACGAACCCACTGACGTCTCTGGTGTGCATCCTACATGATAGACCCTGCAACATGTCCAAAACTCCGTCATACCACCGTGGGGGTTCAAGTCAAGGTATATCATGACTTCAACGGAAGGGCAAGTCCACATATCGAGATCTGGCGAGGCACAGCCTCTTTACACCGAGAAAACAGCCGCGATCGAAACCCACAACCCTTGCTATCGTCAGATCAGATCATGGATGCTCGGCCAGATATCCGGGGGGATATGGGCGTATATCATACACACCCTGTGGGTTTTTTCTAGAATAACGCCAACGCAGAGCCTCATCTTGAAAATTTATCAGAATCTCATCTGCCTGGCCCTGTATCTCAGCTCTGAATGGCTCTTTGATCTTATCTTGGGTCATGGGTAAGGTATAGATAGGGCCGAGCCGCTGCGGAAGAGCCTCATGAGGCTCTATTTTCGGTGCTGTAAAGGGAAGACTTTAGTTAGCAGGTGATCTGACTTCGCTGCAGTCCGATAGACTATGTTCTAGTCAGGAGAACAGTGGTGGATGCATCCATCTGCAGGGACTATGTAATTAATGTTTGTGGAAGCAGGCTGCTTCGTTTGGTAACGAGACTTTTGCATTCTTTGGATAAACGGCTGGAGATAAGGTAGTTGGAGTCTCCTTACTTTAACGGCGTCTCTCCTCCGAGACTACCGTTGACTTGGTTCGGTGTGGCCGGTGGCAGCTCACATCATGTTATAAAAAGGTGGGACTTGGAAATCAGCCCATTCTTCCATATCTTGTCTGTGCTTCTTTGGTTCATTGTGAGTCAGTGCCGTATATTCGAGACTAAAGACAAGAATGACGAATCATATATGCGTTTCTTGGGACCGTGAAAGAGTGATTGATTAGATGTCAAAGGTTGATCATCACTCAAGCTCCGAGGTAGTTCGTTCAAGTCCATGCTTTGTCATGACATAAGATTGTGCTACACTGATTGCCATACTTAAATAACACTCCACATTGCGCAAATAGGTCGGCATAAAGACACCGAGAAACATACAAGCATACAAGCAAGTAACTCAGAAGAGGTCTCAATAAATCTCTAGGGAATGAACTGTAGGAAAGGAAAGCAGATTCCAAGATCTCGTGTCAGGTATAGGGTAGCAGCTGTCTGGGCACGTTTTTGCAGGACACATCACAGCCAGTCTACATAGCAAATCACCATAGTCTAATTGATAGAGTCTATTTTTTAGGTACCGCTGCTTCTATCACTCTATGATTGATCGACAGGCTTATGCCACCGTTGCCCAAGATGACGAGAGACGACCTTGACTTCAAATAACTAGCACCTAATTTTAGACTCTCCTCAGCCACTAAGCAAGTTTCCCGTTAAATGACAACGGAAGCAGCAGCGAGATAAAACGCATAAACTCTGACATAGAAAACAGAAGCGAAACAGTGAATCAGAAGCAAAAAGGCCAAGCATCGGAGTAATTACCCGTCAAATGCGTTTCAGAAAAGTTTCCCCGTTGTATTGAGCACGTTTCATCTGGGACCCTCCAGATTTGGCTGAACCTGAGGCGTAGGCGCCTCCTCCAATTGCGCAATTATCGCGGCGCCCAAGCATAGAGAACAAGTGTAGCAAGCGCCTATTAATATTAATAATTGACTTCCGCCATCACAGTCAGCGGGCAATACTCTTAACAACTGCAACTCAAGATACCCCTTTTAAACGACTATAAATTATCTGCAACTCCCTTCAAATTCTTCTACAACTTCCATAATTCAATTCCCACTTTTAGCACGGACCTCTAATTCCGACAACTTTCGCATCTCCATTTGATATCTAGATACCCCGCCATTTTCCTCAACCTCCCAATTACAAATCACCAACACATTCACAATGGCCGACACTCACACCTACGAGTTCAACATCACCATGAGCTGCGGCGGCTGCTCCGGTGCCATCGACAGAGTCCTCAAGAAGCTTGACGGTATGTCAACACACCCAGTCAACCGCTTACCGCTGCTAACAATATACCATCGCAGGCGTTGAGAGCTACGATGTGTCCCTTGAGAACCAGACCGCCAAGGTCGTCACCGCCCTCCCCTACGATACCGTCCTCCAGAAGATCGCCAAGACTGGCAAGAAGGTCAACTCTGGCAAGGCGGACGGTGTCGAGCAATCGGTCGACGTCGCTGCCTAAGCGCCGCACCAAGATAGGAGGCGAGTCGAGGAAGCAACGAGCAATCGATCCATCTGAATATCTGTTAGCTTTGCAAGCGCTTGGGAAACCTTCGGTGTTTATGGTCTCGGGCATTGAGAAAAGGAGGAACATCTGATTTCATAAGAAAAACTCTTAAACCAACCCAGAGAGTTGACTGAACTCAACTTTAACATCCTATTGTCTGGAACCTATACCATGGTCCCATCATGTTGCGTGAACTTCGATCGACGTGTAGTGTGCATTGTGCATAATGCGCTTACTGAACGTTGAATCAAAAGTGATGTTTGCAGTAATATCGAAGCTCAATCCTTGCGTGTTGCCAGTTGAACAGTATACAACAGCTCTATCAACGTCTCTGTCCCTGATTAGCCCAACAGGAACGAGGGTAGCTTGCGAGGAAATGCGAGAGCACCGCCATACGCAAGCCCTTACGAGGCGACTTCAATTGACTTGCTCTTGGACATTGCGAAGTCGTTATGCTCGTGAGAAATGCTGCGCGGAGGATACTGCACTCGATAGTTAGCGTAGGAGATGATAGAAATGCATACCAGGCAGGCTTTGCACAAAGAAGAGAACATGAGGCAAATATGCCTATCCATTTTTCATGGGATCCGACTTATACCGCTGTTATCCAGAAAATCGAATGAGTATTGTGCGAGGATGGCCAAGAATGGGCCGAGCAATCCATAACCAGCTTCTGCAGAGAACTTCAAAGAACTGCAAAATCCCAGAAACAATGAGAGAAGCAGAAAAAGCAACAAACAATCATGCACATACATCAGCTCTCATGTGAGCAGCTCCCTGATTCGTGGAACACAACCCTCCCTCGGGCAAACGCTTCAAGTTGACACTGACGGCTCATCGAAATGAACGCCATCACAGGCAAATCAACCAATGAAGAGGCACGCTCAACCCCAAGAATGCCTACCTGGGAAAGCCTGGGATAGCAGATTGGCCATGATTACCCCAGGTCTGGGTATCATGACTCCAGATTGTCCTCATGAGAAGGTAGATTCACGCACTTTGACGCCAGCTCACCGTAGCATTCTTGGATAAGGTATAGCGTGAAGCTGGATGATCCAACATGACCCCGTGAACTACTTCCGTTTCTCCAGGCTTGAGAAGTCTCATGAAGCCAACAATTTTCCAAGTCTGGAGCCCCGTATCACAGGCAGCGCCAGGAGGAAGGGACGCAGTTACACGCATGGCTGGACTCGATGGGGCTCAACCGTTCTTAGGGCGTCCCCAAGGTCCGGGGGGCGTGCCGCAACATCGATGCGGGGAAAACAATTGCGGCTCATGCAAGTTAAAACTGCGGAGCCGCAGTGGATGCCGTTTTAGCACTGCACGGGCCTGATGACGGGGCCTAGAGGGATAAGCGCGGCTTGAAAACGCGGAGGACCCAGGAACCCACAGACCCTGCCCCAGATATGATGATCTAAGGAACATGGGGTTCAACTTTCAAGATGTGACGACCTGGGACAAGCTAGATCCGGCTCTCCTTGCTTTAGGCAGTCTCCAAGACATAGATCTTTGAGAAAGAGCCTTGTGTTTGATCATAGAATACTGACTAGCATAAACTCCGTCTTTAAGGTTGCTTACATGGTCTGTAGTTTTGGTTAGATGAGTTATGAGGGGAAACGACAAACATCTTCACTTACACAGATTATGCACTCCTGATTCCTCTTCAAGGATAAAAATGCTCGCAAGCCAATCTCCCTCTGGACCGACACGCGGGGAGGAAAATCGACATGGGGCAAAGCACATCTTGACAACCCCTGCGAAGGTATCGTGGAAGGTGGACCTTCAACAGTTGAAGGTAGATGAGGTGTTGCCACAGGACAAAGACTGCATCCAATCATACCCCTACCAGTTGCGTGTTCGAGAAGCAAATGGCACTTGGCGACGGAACCTTGGAGTGGACAAGGGTGCAAGAATGGCTAGGGAGTTTGATCGTTAGGCTCCAGATGCCCCAAGCTCATTGTTGTGTGTCAATGTAGCGTTGATAGACAAGGTACATCTATCCGCAATCGTGACTGAGGCTTGTATGAGGGTGGGTTACGATGGCAGTTTCTGAGGCTTGTTCTACGAAACTGCCAATTGCCATAAACAACAACGCCCGGCCACCCGAAGCCTGAAAGAGAAGCGTTGGCATAGGTTGGGGTAAAATCTGACCAATAGCGTCTTTGGTATGGTCGTGAAATCTTGCACCAAAAAACATGAGTCGCTTAGACAATGCTGAATTCAGGTGACTAGCCAGAGTCGTTGAAACCAACGGAGTAACTGACTTGCCGAACAATTAGTTGCGCATACACAACATGTGCATGTGGTTCTGCCACTCCTTGTTCGTGCCATATCTGATGGGGTTACAGTATACTGATATAAGTGAGGCACAGCCAAACACTGTTATACTGTCGTACCGAGCTGTTATCACGCAGTCTTTGACACGACCACCTCGACGTCTGTTGAAAATTGTATCAGAGATTCTGCAGGGCTGGCCTGTGGTTGAGTGAACTGCTCCATCCCGCAAGAGAAATGTGTTGCGGCCACCAATCCGCATGAGCCCACAGCACTGTCCAGCGTTGGTATAGCAGCAACATTGCAGGGATTTCGAGTCAAGGTCTCTTCAGTGAGTAACGGACTGAGCTAGAGCTTCCCCGCACTTCCCAAAAGACCTCCATCCATCCGGCTGGGATGAACCTTGGACCCGAAGACGGTCCCTACGCATACCAGAGAGCATCAGATCGACCCAAGTGATGGCGTTGCGTGTATACCAAGATCAGTCTGGGGAAGATCCTCATTTGGAGCTTCATGTGTGTTCACGGATCCGAAGTTGCTTCCCAATAGCGCGGTGCTAGATGATCTGGGGGACCTGCGCCATGTCTGATGAGAGTGCGGGGAAAAGTGAGGATGCCTTCAGAAGTACACGCCATGATTGTATATTGATTGACGTGGTTCTCCACTGTTGCATAACAGTTTAGCACCATTTCCTCCTATTCCTTGCCTTGAAGCACCAGTAGCAGTACCAGCCACGATGGCAGTGGCAGTTTTTACCGTATTTTGGGGTAATCGCCGTGGCTTTTTGGTTGAATGGCTGTATCCCTCCACAAGATCCTTTCGAGCGGTTTCTAGCGCCGTTGGCTTGTTACCGGTAAAAGGGAGGTTGCAGATAATTCAGTGATGGAGCATGATTGGTATCCATGACAAGAAATTCTTGGTTTGAGTTGTTGGCAGAGGAAATCCCTTCCTTCCTCATGTTAAGTTGTTTTGCTGATGTCACGGAAGGAAGCTTTGACGATCTGTTGCCCCTCCATGCCAACGGATCCAATAACACCGACACTCGGCGATGGATAACGCGAATGGCGAGATTTAACAATACGATTATAATCACGATATCAAATGGAAGGCATTGAGGCATTAATCCACAAGAGTTTCAATTGAGGCCTCTTTGAATCCGCAAATATGGAAATTTGAATGCGTAACGGCAGTTGGTTCACGCCGAGAAAGGCAGATGAACATAACTGAGCGTTTCATTCAAAACTGCACCCATAGCTTAGGGGGCGTCAAACGGAGAAGTGATGCCACACCTACAACTCCGTACTAAGGTACGGAGCCGCTGCCAAAACAACCACCCCAGTAATCCACCAACCTATGAGATGTAACAGGCAGTGCAGCTCCCACATGGCTGAACGGATGCGCTTGATGATGAGAAGCTATTCTAGCTCAAGGAGGCTGGCAGTAGGAAACGCGTGGGATGGATGAAGCATCTCCTAGAATAGTTGTTAGATGTTAAGCGCCATTACTGGGACAGGACCCTGCCAATCCACAATCTGTATGCCCTGCAAGGTTAGAGCAAATTAGGGGCTCTCATGAGGCTTTTCAATCCAATGTCATGTCATGTTATGTTGAGACAAGCAGGACAGGGCAGGATCTGACAATGGAAGCAACCGAATTAGGACCGGATATGCAATCGAAAGATCCGAATTTACCGCAGTTTCCTCTTTGCTATCTATCTTTGGGCATCGGGCGTTTTAAAAATGGGCTTCTATGGTCTGTTACAGTTTGAATGGCAAAAACCCGGTGTAATGGGAAAAGGGCCGCAAAAAGCATCTGACTTTTGGTGACCGAAAATTTTTGATGGTAGCTCGCCAGAATATCACCACCTAACAATTTTTTACATTACAGTACCTAGACTAGAGCATCATGACTACGGATAATTGTTTTCCTACTGCACACCCCATGGATTGGGTCCCAGATCTACTCCTAGCTCTGTAGCTGCGGATGGAAGTAACTTTCCCCCCAGAGGTACAAGACTGCTCAAATTGGCGCTATTCCGTACTGTCATCGATTTTCACTAGAGCTGCCCGCTGCTGAGGGGAAGTTGAAGTCCAGCATGAGCGGGGGGTCAGACAGAAACACGTCGTGAGGAGATCAGACCTACGGTAAGGCGCGGCAGGTACCGTAGCAATGCGTAACTGTAAGGTAGGGAGCAGAAGCTACAGGGAAGATAGAGAGACGGGACCTGCCCTGGGCCTAAGCTCCCTAATCCCTAACTCATCCACTATCCACTGGTGACGCCACTACAAACAACCCGAGCTAAGCTAACCTCACCTCACACTCTGTTTCTCTCACACACACTATTCCTCCCACGCACGCACGCACGCAACCTAGCAACCCATGCAACAAACGCATAGGACGATACTGCCACTCAATCGCACTCACCGTTCGCCGCATCCCGAAAGCCATAGTCCAACGAGCATGTTCCAAAATGCGGATCCCCGTGCAGCCGAAGTGGCCCCTCCCTTTGGCCCTTGTTCGTTCAGTTGATTCACTTGGTCCCTTAGGCTTGGTCAGAATCGAGTCGAGGCCAGAATAGAGACTCTTGTCTGATCTGCTCTGATCTCTCGTCCCTGCTCTCACACCCTTCACAACACCAAAAATCTCACTCCCTCTCCCCCGCGACCGCCAAGATGAGGCTTGAGTTTCTACACCCAGACGCCTATCCTTGCCCCGTTGGCCCATCATACCATACGCTTTAGGCCCGAGTACTATCCATACGTACCATACCAGAGCAGACCATACCATACCACATAGATCAGTCCCTTCACTCTGGATCGCCCGTCCAACATCTATATAAACTCTGCTCCCATCGGCCTCAAGTCGTTTCTTTCCTCTCCATCCTCATCCAGATCATCAATCAACTCTTCAACACTCTCAACAACTCTTCAGTCTTCACGACAACCTTTCGATACCCTTCCAACCAAACAACCAACCAACCACTCCAACAATCAAAATGGCCGCTCCCCAGATTCCCGAGAAGCAGTGGGCTCAGGTTTTCGAGAAGACCGCCGGTCGTATGTCATCCTATCTTCTTCAATCTACAATCCCAATTGCCTCTTCTGCCTCTTGATATCATTGATATCATATGCAACCCCAGGTTCTCTGCCGAGTCCCACCCATCCACAGCTCCCCACCATCCACAGCTCCCCACCATCCATTCGCCTAACAATTCGATCATTGTCGAGTCTTACACTAACTCTCTTTCTCAGCCATCGAGTACAAGCAGATTCCCGTCCAGAAGCCCGGTCCCGATGAGGTCCTCGTCAACGTCAAGTTCTCCGGTGTCTGCCACACTGATCTCCACGCCTGGCAGGGTGACTGGCCCCTCGACACCAAGCTGCCTCTTGTCGGTGGCCACGAGGGTGCCGGTGTTGTAGTCGCCCGTGGCGATCTTGTCAAGGATGTCAAGATTGGCGAGAAGGTCGGTATCAAGTGGCTCAACGGCTCTTGCCTGAGCTGCTCTTACTGCCAGAACGCCGATGAGTCTCTCTGCGCTGAGGCTCTCCTCTCCGGTTACACCGTCGACGGATCTTTCCAGCAGTACGCCATTGCTAAGGCTATCCACGTTGCTCGCATTCCTGAGGAGTGCGACCTTGAGGCCATCTCCCCCATTCTCTGCGCCGGTATCACCGTCTACAAGGGTCTTAAGGAGTCCGGTGTCAAGGCCGGTCAATCCATTGCCATCGTCGGTGCTGGTGGTGGTCTCGGTTCTATCGCTGTCCAGTACTGCAAGGCCATGGGTATCCACGCCATTGCCATCGATGGTGGTGAGGAGAAGGGAAAGCTCACCAAGGAACTCGGAGCTACTGCCTATGTCGACTTTACCAAGTCCCAGAACCTTGTCGCTGATGTCAAGGCTACCACCTCCGATGGTCTCGGACCCCACGCTGCTCTCCTCGTCGCTACCAACGAGAAGCCCTTCCAGCAGGCTACCCAGTACATCCGATCTCGCGGTACCGTCGTCTGCATTGGTCTCCCCGCCAATGCTCAGTTCTCTGCTCCCGTCTTCGACACAGTTGTTCGCATGATCTCCATCAAGGGATCTTACGTCGGCAACCGTGCTGATACCGCTGAGGCAATTGACTTCTTCCGCCGTGGTCTCATCAAGGTCCCCTTCAAGACTGTCGGTCTCTCTGAGCTCAACGAGGTCTACAAGCTCATGAAGGCTGGCCAAATTGTCGGTCGCTACGTCGTCGACACCAGCCGATAAGCGCGCGGCTGTCGCTTGGGCAGTGCGCCAAAAAGCAAAAGCACGCCCCAAAAAGATAAACAGGGCTACCCATCGCGCAAAGGGGTTTACCCTCTAAAGAGGAGTTCAGGCGGGAGTTGATTTGGGTTTTCTGGCGGGTGTTGTCGAAGTAGCCAGATGGATGATCTTGGTTACACTTTGTGTATGGCCCTAGTTTATGAGTTTTATGATTTTCTTTAGCATCCAATAACAGAACGAACATTTCGATCAACAATGGTTTCCAAGTGACATCTATAACTCTGCACATTGTTATGAATAATACAGCCCTCTTGAGTAAATTCTTCAAATGAGGAGAAATAACGATTCCTTTTCACACTGCTGCCTTGTATCAGTACTTGCTTGCTAATCGAGTTTGAGTCAAGTCCCATTGAGGTCCACAAGGGGGTGAATATTGATAGAATTAATATAAATTCCCAAGTTTTGACTATGATCCTCTACTTGAGAAAAACTCCTCGAATTATAGTGAGATCTTTCGAAAATATTCTCAATGTCTCTGAGTTGTTGTGGTTATGATCGACTCTCACCTAGTCTCCATATATCACAACAGATGGACTTACACGGACAGCTGATTTCGAACATGTTTGACCAGCTTGTAGATAAGTCGTCAGACTGACGATAGTACACACTTCTACGGACCATTCCCACGGAGTTCGTCCAGCCGCTTCATGGTCAAGTAGTCTCATCGTGACTAACACCGTATCTTCAACCAGGAGGCTGGATAATATCATGTATCAAAATATCACCATGACGGGGTTGATTTACCCCTCCATCCACTACAAATCGGATGCAACCCTCTCTACAAGAACCCCTGCCAGCCACCAAGCCACTTCTAGAACATCATCAACCGTCCAGAAACAAAAAATCAGGCCACTGCTTATAAACAGCATCTAGAGCGTCTAAGCGTGTCTTTTACGAACTGCTCGTTTTCTTGGCTGCAGAAGTTCGTTCTTGCCTCGAACCTGAATTGCAGGGAACAATTGAATTTTGAAATATGATATGAGAGACGGGTAGCGGAAAACGCCTATATTTGACTTCCCGACGTGCCGAAGTTCAACGCATCATGCATTCAACGATTAGACTCTAACGTCGCTACGTAGTAGAAGCGGGGAAAAGAGACATGTTTTGGAAATATGAATTTTAAAAACGACTAATGTAACTCTTCAACACGTGCCACCATCTCGTCTTGCTATCTCTTGTCTCCCACTTGTAGTTGCATCGCTTTAGGCATAATTGTCAATTGAGATTTTTGCGCCATGAGCGCCTCTTCATTGCACTCCAGTCAACACCCACTATCCTCTTGCGCCTACTCCAAGAACATCTCTTTCTAGGAAGCTTGCTGTTGACTCTGGGAGTCAACTGAGGAGTGATTCTTGATCGTCTATGTCGTAAATCAAGAGCCACCGGGTCCACCAAGCAGAGCGAATCTTCGCACAATGCTGGGTCCATATTCTTGGTACTGTAATATTGATTAGCTGTGGTCAAGAAATAACAGACAATCCGTCTCACCTCGGCCTTGGTATGGCAGTATGATCGGAACTCAGGGGTTTGACCAAGGAGACTGCCTCCGAACCACGGACCGTGACGCTGTCGCTTATGAGTGATAACAGACACGTCCAGGCCACCACTTCGAGCACCACCGCTGCGAACCTCACTGGCTCGAATTCTGGCATCAACCAACTGCTTGATATCTCGCTGTAATCGGCGACCGAAATCCTTGTACAATGTGCTTCCACCAGAAAGAACAATGTTCTTGTAAAGACCTCGTCGGACGTCGATAGGCGATTGCTGAATGACACCGTCGACAACCACGGGCAGAGGAGTCAAGAAATCGGAGCTGTAAATCTCGGGGTTGAAGAAGATCTCGGGGGCAAGGAAGCGCTCGTAACCGACATCAACGGTAACCTGTCGGCCATTGGGTTGCGACACAACGTGCTGAGCGAATCGAGTACGATCCCGGTCATACTTGCTGAACTCCTTGACGATATCGGGACACACGTAACAGTACTCCTCCTTAATCTCCTGAGCTGTCTTGAGCGAAGAATCGGGCTCGCCTCGGTCTCGTAGGAGGGACTGAACGAAGTAGGTGATATCTCGACCGGCAATGGGAATTGACTTGATAGAAGACCCAATGACATAACCCTCGGCAACGGGAATGACGTGGGTGACACCATCACCGGAATCAATGACCGTACCAGTCAACGAGCGATCCTGGACCTTTGAAGATGTCCAAGAAGCAGCCAAAGCAAGAACGGCCTGGACGGCAATGTACATTCCAGCACAGTTGAAGGACTCGAAGAAGATTTCGGCGGTATTCTCACGGTTCTCGGGCGGGTTCAGTGGCTATTTGTATTAGTTTGATGTTTGACGTCGTACGGGGCGCAAGATGCTCACGGGCTCGGTAAGGAGGAAGTAGTGGTCTTCAGGCTCAACTCGGAGATACTTGAAGATGGAGTTCGACCAGAATCGTTCCATGTGGTCCTAAAGGCGGTCAATTATAGGTAATGTCGGATTCGTCGGCAAGCATACCCAATTCTCTATTTGACCGTGTCGAATGGGATAGTGAATGCCATATCCTGAACTTGTCAGCTGAATTCAATGAACTGGAGCTCATATGGCTGCCTACCAGGTCCTCCAGAAGCTGCTATCGCCTCATCACCGATAAAGAAGTCGAGATCCTCGGTTCCTCGCTTTCCGCTCAAATGGCCTCCAGCTCCAGCACCTCCGGTAAGAAAAGATGGCTTGTTCGCAACAGCTGGTCGTCCAGAACCAGAACCACCAGCTCCGCCAGTTGGCCCCTTTGTCGCAATCGCGGTCGGGAAGACGAATGAGGGAGAATCGTTACCGGCGAAACCTAGATTGAAGCATCAGCATGAAGCTCAAGAGTACATGATAGCTTCCGAAGCGTATCTCGTCGTTACAGACCTAGCTTGGAGAAACCCGTGCCGCTGTGAGCTGAGGTTAGCTGTCGTCGTCAGTGCGGGGGCTGGGATAAGTGAGACGTACTTGTCCATGACAACGGCGGGAGTTTGGTTAGCCATGATGGGCGAGAGTGCGTGGTGAAGCGCACAGCTACAAGAGAGAAGATGGAGAAGAGGAGGAGACAAATGCCGCGCGTGAGGAGTTGCAATGTGCGGCGATGATGGTGGTCGTTGGGTGAGGATTACGTTACGTGCCTTGTAAAGCTCCCAGCTCGGATGGAGGTGAGGCTTGAACTGCGGCTGTGCTGTGCCCCGCCGTTGAGTGGGTCGTGACACTGAATGGCTGGACATGTGGGCCTGGTTGTTGCGATAACCGGGGGTGAAGGTCTAAGTGATAAAATTATAGGCACAATTAGCAAGTGTAACAAAAGTTTTATATGTTCAAACTTGACAAACCAATTGTATTTAGTATCTAACAATGCAATGCCTGTCTATCAATTCTCACAAGTACACCTGACTCGATAAATCTCCCAACTGCTTGCTTCAACTTGATCTCTGTCTCAGCTTGAGTTCGATGTCTCAAGTGAGTTGTAATTATAGTTGATGTGCGACGTCATTTCTAGGCCCTCTTTAACGGGAGACAACAAGCAACTGTATTTCTTCAGTGTCGCTGCCTAATTGAACGCTCGCCTTTCGGCTTATGAGACTTCTTAAATGCAACGTGCTCTCATGAATACTGTGGATCCAGAGATGCCTTCAACTGGCTAGACTTGTAGTTATTACATGTGACCAGTAATGAGGTGTTGATCGGAGATTCGAGATTGTATATGTTTTCCACCTGGCGATTGCTGCTTCTCATCTTACACAAGTCTATCAAGCAAGGAGTGACTGATCAAACCCCAACCCAACAACTCCTTTAGCTCTTTCCTTATTTATAGAGTGCTTTGCCTTTCCTTCAAATATCGAATCTGCCCAAAACTGCACCATTGTTCAATCTTCAACCTTTTCTCCTAAAGCATTGAACCTCAATCAACATCACTTCCAGGGCATCTCCACGCCCGCTTTTCTTCTCTTTTCTTCTCTTCTCTCACAACTATCAACATCATCTCAATAATCTCTTAACAGTAGACGCTCGCTACCTCATGACTTCTCTCGAGGATGTCAGACAGTCTCGATGATGATACCCCCTTCAGCTCAGGATCCACCCCTTACGGAACCGATGGCGCTTTCGATCATGTAATGAAAGTGGCACACAGAACCAAAGTAGTGCCCGCTATCTTTATTCACGCCGGAGCTGGCTTTCACAGTCACCAAAATGAGCACATACACCTCCAGGCCTGTGTTGCGTGAGATACTCTCCAGTGGCCCCTGAGCACCTGGGCTATTGAGCTAACAGCGACAGTGCGGTTGAGATGGGTATGAGGTTCCTCAGAGCTGGTGCCAGCGCAACTGAAGCCGTTGAAGCAGCTCTCCGAATCCTCGAGGATAAAGAAATTACCAACGCTGGATACGGCTCCAATCTTTCCATCGATGGTGTTGTAGAATGTGATGCCACTGTAGTGGATCATCTTGGCCGCAGCGGCGCTTGTGGTGCTGTCCCCAGTGCGTTTCTCCTGCTCAAGACAAGTATACCCAGTATCAACTGACAATATCCCAGATATTCGCAACCCGATATGCCTTGCCAAACTCATTTTAGACATGAGCAACAAACCATTGAGCCTGAGACGAGTTGCACCAAACGCTCTTGTCGGAGAGGGCGCTAGGGCTTTCGCAGAGGAGCATGGTTTGATGATATATCCCAATGAGTATATGGTTTCGAAGAATGCTAGAGACCGTTTTCTGCGCTGGCAGGAAGACTTGAAGCGAGCCGAGTCCAAGGGCCAAGAGCCTAAAGCTTTGCCCGAAACTGTTGACATAACCGCAGAATGCCCCCCGTGCCAGTACGATACGGCATCGCCGACAAAGCCACACTCATCTCTTCCGCGGGATCAGCGGGCTGCTATTGTCGCCGGTACTTGGAATGAGGGGCAGCCTGACTCTCCTTTCGTTGGCACGCCGATCCAAGATGCGCCATCGCCAGATCATTCGACGTCCACCAGCTACTTCCGAGCCTCAAGCACCTCTCCTCCAACAGTCAGCCGCTCTTCATTCGCTCGAAGTCCTCAAGAAGGAGCGACACAGACGTATGCTGGGGTTGTGAGTGGTGTCCAAAGTGCATTGTCATCCCCATTTCGACCCAGTTTATCTCGAAAGTCCAATCCTACAGCTGAGGGTTTCAAGCCTGTCTTGCCAGAGAATGCATCAATCCGTCATAAGTACCATGCACATGCCACAAATAAGGCCGACAATACATCACCGCGAACTCCTACTGGTAACAAGGGCAACGGCCCTGATCGCCAAAGTTCGGCAAGTCCTCGTGGGGCTAAGCGACCTCTCAGTCCAGATGAAAAGCCGCAGCCTCACTCAAGAGCTGTACACGACCGCTTTCGTTTCGGATCTGTTAACGAGGACATTATTACGGACACTATTGGTGCCATTGCGATCGACGATCGAGGCCAAATTGCTGCCGGCTCATCTTCAGGTGGTATCGGAATGAAGCACCGGGGTCGTCTTGGACCGGCTGCTCTTGTGGGGGTTGGCACAGCCGTTGTACCCTGTGACGAAGAGGATGAAGATCAGGTTGCTGTCGCTGCAGTCACGAGTGGTACAGGAGAGCATATGGCTACAACCATGGCCTCCCAACGGTGTGCGGAGAGGATTTACCATGGCACAAGACGTGGAAAAGGGGGTGCTAACATTGAGGACGACGATGAAGATGCCATCATGGAGTCTTTCATTGCTGAGGACTTCATGAAGCATCCTGGTGTCAAGAACTGCCACTCAGCAGGTGCCATTGGTGTCATGGTGGTCAAGAAAGCGCCGTCAGGCTATTATTTCTATTTCGCCCACAATACAGACTCCTTCGCCCTCGCTTCGATGGGAGGTTCGGAAAGACAGCCCGTCTGTACGATGTCTAGACTTTCAGATGGCGCCAAGATCGCCAAGGGTGGGCGTAAGGTCAGGTTTGAGTAAGGTGCACCATTGTCTGAGAATAGCATAGGATTGGCGATGCTGATGCGAACTGAGCTTCTGCTCAGGTTGATGTTGGATGGTTGTGACAATCATGGCTACAGCGCCTGGAAGTGCAATGGTCGATTAGAATTCTCTTATGCATTAGATTCAAGTGATAGCCTTTACATCCTAGCCTTACGCCCTTTGCTTATTCTGTTTACTTCAATATTAATATCTACAGATCGTGAGAGTATAAAGACGTATGCTTTCGCTGTAGCATTATCTTCAATAAATGCCATGTCTGACTGGTTTCCTTAACGCCATGAGACTTTATGTACATTGGTCATGAAGGGTATACCCCGTTATTCAAGCGATTTAGCGGATCATTCATGGACGAGGTGTCCCTGTCGCGCTCCCTGTCTCTTCCCGTGAACCGCTTCCATTGACGATTTTGCGCTTCTTTTTCTTCTTCCTTGGTACAACGGCGGGCTTCGCACCATAGTTACCCAGAGATAGTTTCGTGCCACACGTGAAACACTCCGAGTTCTCTGGCGTTTCACAAAAGATGCTCAGGCAGATTGAGCAGACGAATCCTGTGTCCACAACTCGGCCGTGACAAAAACAGGCGGCGCGGAAATCAACGGTGTCGTGTGTTGGGGCAATTAGAGCTTCACGAGCTTCTGTGTCCGCGATAAGACCGAACATGAGGTAGTTCAGTAGTCCTTGGGGATGTGTAGCAGCTAGGTATGTGCCACCGGTGTTGTAGCAAGCCTGTTGAAGGAAAGTTGGCTCGCCAGTGAGAGAGAGGGTATCGATAGCGACCTGTGTATGGCCAGCGGCAAAGACAGCGTTCATGGTGGGAATATATTGCGAGGGCTCTGAATCGGACACTGAAATGACCAGGATTCTACCTCGGACAGTTGGGGGAGCTGTATTCGACGAGCCTTTGTGGCTGTCCTCGAGGTTAGCCGTAGGCGCACAGAGAGCCTGCGCAGCTTTATTGATATGGCATAGCGCCAGTGTCAAAGCCCCAGAGATTTGTGTCGTCGTCGCAGAGAGATCCTCCTCCTTTGTCTGATCCATGAGTTTTCGAATCGCAGCCAAAACAGCAGCTTCAATCTGTGCAAACTGCGGAAACTTGTTCGCCGACGTTTGCGTTTGCGAAGCATCATTCATGGCAACATCGCCAGAGGCGTCGCGTGAAGGTTTTGGGGGTGTTGGATAGAGCCATTCTGCGCGATCGACGTGGGCGGCGATAAGGGCGACTTGGTTTGCGTTGCTGAAAGCGAGATGGGCGTTGACGAAGACGAGGATGTTTGCGATGGCGCGTGATAGGGGGAGGACGTTGTTGAGGGATGCCCAGGCTCGGGGGTTCGTGTCGAGGACGATGGTGAGGAGGGAGGGAGTTTCTTCGCGGGTGCCGACCTCGTAGTGCTCTGAAACATCGACGGCGTCCATTTTGAGGGAGGTGACGCTGTGAAGATGTTGGTTGGGAGACGGCTACGAGGCCCTAAGCGTGGTTGAGCTTTCTTGGTGGCCTTACTCAAGGACTGAGGCTGCGATAGCCTAAGGCTGTCCAGTCGCAAGTTGTTGGATTCAAGGCAAAGTTACCTTAAGAAGACGGACGGGTACGAGCGTTGAATTTATCGCATGATCAGTTGGTATCCGAAAACGCCAAAATTATAACGCCAACCCCAATGCCACCAATGTTTGAAAGAGCCTTGTTTTTAGATATTCTTCGACGCGGCTATCATGAATGGAAGAGAAAATCTGATTGTTGGTTGGACGTCATCAACAGGCATGATGAAATATGAGCGCGGCTGCTGGCACCAACAGGCCCCTACAGCAAACCCCCTAGCTCAGCTCTCAAACGCCTGGCCACGTGATAACCAGCTAAAACGCATTAAGCGTCAGTGATCTTTGATCTAACGTTAGTGGCTCAAGCCCAGTCTCACGAGCTCTCTTGTGGTAGGTTGAGGCTGTGGTGGAGGCCGTGACGGGTCTTCTTGCCTTGTGCGCTCTACGATTTACATCACAAGTTCCAGTTTCGGTCTCTCACTTTTATTCCCTTAACTACCTACCACCTTAAAAACAAGAACTAAGGTAGCTTCTGGCTTACTACCTTACTTTCTCTCTCACCTACACAATCAATCAATATCCCATGGCAGAACCTACAGAACCTGCATCTCAGGCGCCTCCAGCCCAGTCGCTGGAGGACCAGACCCTTATCGTATTTGCGCGCCTCATGGAGGGTGGACAGGAAGATAACGAGACATGCCGCGACCTCGATGAACTGACGAAGCTGCTCAACGACGACTATGAAACTCGTCAGAAGGACAAGTCTCGTGAGACTATTTGCAAGGTTATCGATGGCGACTGTGTCGACACCGTTTTGTGCTATCTTGATATGAGACAACCTGAGATTGTACGCGGCCACGCCACTCTCTCAACATCCGCATATCTCAAAGCCGCTGGCGATGACGGCTCAAAGAAACTCTCGACTTTCTTCTTTGACCGTGTTCGAAGAGGAACTTATGATGATTACATTGTTGCCTTTTGTGTCGCCGCTGCGACATTTCCCATTGTCCCTGATCTCACTGCCGAGCTGTTTCTCAACGAAGATTTCCTACCCAGCCTCGGCACACTTATGCGACGAAAATGGAAAAGCCGCAAGGTCGAGACAGCCTGTTTGGAGATGCTTAACGCTGCTTGTATGAACTCACTGTGCCGCGAGGCTATCAACAAGTACTGCATCGAGTGGCTTGAGGAGATTGTCGACCAAGACCTTAGCGAGGCTGTTCGTAGCATGAACGCAGACCCAAATCTTCAGAGCGACGGAGGCTCCATTTCAATGAGGCGGCACTCTGAACAGGTTCAGTATCTTGCTGCAGTCATCTTGGCCAAGCTGAGGGTGAGATAAGATGACTCTGAGCTCTGTATTGTCACTGACTGACCCAGCTTTCAAGGCAGTTCCCGCTAAACCGGCACCTGGTGACAACAAGTCCAGAATCGAGCCTGCAGTCACTAGTATCGAGGACCTCTCTGGAATGTTCACTAAGATGATATTGAGAGATGAAGATCACGGACGAAAGCACTCTATAGAAGGTCTCGCATACGCCTCTCTCCAGCCCAAAGTCAAGGAGTCTATTGTCAGCAACCCCGAGCTGCTCCAGAAGCTGGTCAAGACGCTCAGCGAGGCCCAACCAAGATCACCAACTACTTATGGAGCTTTAAGCATCTTTGTCAATCTGACGAAATACCTGCCCACCCTGACCGAAGAAGAGAAGAAGATGAACCAGCTCAAGGCATATGCCAATGCTGCCGGAAAGCTTGGCGGACCCGACCCCCTTAATGACGATGAGCATGTCGCAAGGCGCTGCAAGCTGGTGTTTGATGCAGGTATCACACCGGTCCTCGTCACCCACAGTAAGAATGGCTCGCCCGCTTCTCTGGGACTCGTCATCTCCATTATTTTCTCTCTCTCCGTCGACAAGACTCTCCGTGGTAAGCTTGCTCAGCAAGGAGCGGTCAAGCTTCTCCTGGTATCATGGATGTCCCTGCCTCAAACTGAAGCTGCTTCACGTCGTCTTGCAGCACAGGCCCTGGCCCGCATCTTGATCAGCACAAACCCTGCACTGGTCTTTGGTGGCAACCGTGACACCCCCATCATTGCTGCTGTCAGACCGCTTGTTTCTATCATCCCACCCGACCCTGCAGCTCAGACACGAGATCTGCTCCCTTCCTTCGAGGCACTTATGGCATTGACCAACCTTGCGTCTATGGATGACGAGGCGACCAGGCGCAGTATCATCAATACTGCGTGGAACCAGATCGAGGAACAGATGCTGTCTTCCAACACCCTTGTCTCTAAGGCTGCTGTCGAGCTTGTTTGCAATCTGGTGCAGCAACCGGAAGCTATCGCACTCTATGCTGAAGAGACTGCTAAGGCCCGCAATCGCCTTCACGTCCTCCTCGCCCTTGCTGATGCCCCTGATGCTGGAACCCGAAGTGCAGCTGGTGGTGCTTTAGCTTCACTCACCAACTTTGAGGGTGTCATCCGGGGCATTATCAACCGAGACCGCGGTGTGAAAGTTATCCTAGGGCTGTGTGTCGATGACAGCGAGGACATCCGTCATCGCGGAGTGTTTGTGATACACAACTTGGTCACCGCAGAGGGCGAAGTCGGCGAGCTCGCACGAGAGAAGGTCAAGAGCGAGGATGGTGTTGAAATTCTTACAGGATGTGCTAAGAAGAGTCGAAGAAATGACGTTGTCGAACTGACAGTTCAGGCCCTGAAGACTCTGTTGGGAGATCAATCATGAATGAAGAATGACGAAGAACATATACATTGTGGTAAAGGTGGCGCAGGTCAGCATTTTTCAGGTCGGGGAATGAGGCAGCGGGTTTCCAAGTTTACAATGATTATGACTATGGCAATGGCAATGAGATCTATCATATTTTCCTTTTGACCCAACCCAAACAAGCGCCGTGTACTTTTATGTTATGCCGTGGTATCGACCCTGTTGAGAATAGCAACGCCCTCTACATGACCTGTCTGAGGAAAGAAATCAAATCCTCGAAGACTCTCAATCTCGTATCTCTCGCCCTCTCCTTCACCGCGCACAAGTACGCCAACGTCTCTGGCCTGCGTGTGCACGTTACAGCTGACGTAAAGCACCCGTCGGGGACCGAATTTTCGTAGCTGGTTCAAAAAGTCTGTATCGCAACCTTTGCGAGGAGGATCGAGAACCACAACGGTCTCGTCGCGGTTGTAGGTAACGCTCTTGAAGAGTTCGCCTGCATCAGCGGCGATGAACTTGCACCGGTCCTCGCCCATGCCGTTCAGGGCGGCATTGCGACTTGCGTAAGCAATGGAATCAGCGGCGATGTCGATACCGATAGAGTGCTGGAAGAGTGATGCGAGGGTGACGGTGAAGAGACCAGATCCTGAGTAGGCGTCGATGAGATACTTGATGTCCATGCCCGTGCCAGCGGGAGGGAGAATGTTGTCTCGGACGTAG